TGCCGCCCCGCGCAGCTCCGCGCATCCCGCCGAGGGTGCGCGCTGCAGGCGGCGTCCGAGCAGCGTGTCCGCGCCTCTCTCCTCCTCCTCCCCCCGCCCCGCGGGTGGTGTTTTTTTTTTTTTTCTTTCCTGGAAAAAAAAAAAAAAAAGAAAAAAGAAGAAAAAAAAAAAAAGAGCTGAAGCCCGGCTGCGCGGGCAGGGCTGCGCGGGGCGCAGCGGCGGCGGCCCCCTCCCCACCGCCCCGCAACTATTAATTATCCGGCGGCCCCGGCGCGGAGAGCATCGGCGGGCTGGCTGCGGAGCGCCGCGACTTTAGCGAGTCTTCCTTCTGCCACTTCGCTGTAATGATTTTAATTGCCTGGTTTTTGCTTTGAGTGAGCCGAGCCGAGCGAGATTACTTCTTCTTTTTTTTTTTTTTTATTTTTTTTATTTTTTTTTTCTTTTTTTTTCCTCCCTTTCCCCCCCCGATTTCCCCCCAAAGGCTGGCAGCAGCAGCGCTCAGAGCTCCCGTGCCCACCCCAGGTATCTGCCGCCTGCGAGCGCTCTCAGAGCCGCTTCTCTATAGAGAAGTGAAGCTGGAGCCCAACTTCTGTGCTCAGAAGTTTTAAGGTTTCATTTTTAGTCACTGTTCTTTGAGTGAGTAACGTGTGTATATACTGCTTTGTAGCGTGTCGTCGCCACGCCGTTAGCCTGCTGATTTCTAGGGTGCTGGATGGTTATCAATATTAAAACAATTCTCTAAACTATGTTTCCTTTCCGTACTAGTTTTTCTAAACTTGGCGGTTTTTACCTGCTTTTGACCATAATGTTGATGGCACTAATGACAGCTGCTTAATTAGAACAAAGTTTCAAGAATGTCGTCGAAGAAACTTGCTGCTTGTGCTGTTAATCCACGGTTTACTTGAATGTTTCAGCGGAGGGAAATTAGGCATTCCACTCGATTTAGTATTATTTTTACAGTTTTTGTTACTGCTGAGAAGCTCCTACTTTTTGTAAGTTTGAGAGAGCCTGAAATAATTCAAGTTCTCAGAAAAGCAAGCACAGGGAAGGAGGCACCGTGCATCTTCGCAACTAGATTTTGGGGGGAAAGAAGGGGAAATCAGGGCTACTGGTTTCAGTTTCTCTCCTCTGAATCTTTTTCCCCTGCACATTTTATTTGAACTGTCTCCCAACCATATTGAATGGACCAGGGCACTGGGGGAGGAAGCTCTTCACTAGTTACCATTCAAAAGGTGTCGGCTAAAATCTCATTGCAAAAAGGTATTGTAGCTTTAACATCTTGCATTGGCAGCATTCTTCCCCCTTAGTCTTTGGATTAGTCATTGTATGAGAGACAGAAAAAAAAAAAATCACTTTTTTTTTTTTTTTTTTTCTGGAAAAAGTAAAGTAAACAGCCTCCAACAAGTGAACCTTGACAACCCAGATTAAGGAAGGCAGGAGAGATCAAACAAAGCTGCTGCTGGGCTGTTGTCAGGAGCTGCCTCACTGAAAGCTCTGGACTATTCGATCAGGCAGCAGGGCTATATGTTCACTTATGCAGAAATGGACCATTACAAATGCTGATCTTTGTTGTGAAACCAAAGGATAACTTTGAGAAAAATAACTACTATTTCGAACAAGGCTTTTTGTTGCTTGCGATTTTGATTGCAAAGTTAGTTTTTTTGTGCATGGGCTGGGTTTTGGGTTCTGTTTTTTTTTTCTTCTTTTTTTTTTTTTTTTTTTTTTTTTGAGTGATAGTGGTTTGGAACGTGTTGTGTACACTTTCAGAGAGACTTAGGATTTGATTTTATTTCTGCTGTCTAGAGCTTTTCAGTAGTGTAATGTTGAAAACCGTAAAAGTTGAGTGGAATTCAGCTTTTATTTCTGGGTCTCTGAGTTGTGAGCAAACATAGATTTTTGTTTTTTGGTTTTTTGTATTTTTTTTTCTGTGTGTGTAAGTGCTGTGCTGATGTATAATTGAGGAGTTTGGTTGTGATTAAGCATTGCATCTTGTGTGAGTGCATTCCTAGAGTTTAGAAAACTTGTGATGTCTTTGCCTCAAACGTTATTATCAGCCAGTCAGGGTAGCACCTTATGTTTGAAATGCCCAGATTTTTGCAGAGCTGTGTGTAACTTGTCTTAGTGACTACATTAGAAACATTCTGTTACTTTGTAGCTTTTTAGTGGAAATAGTAGCAAAGGATATTGACGGATACTTGATTTTACGTCAATAAACAATTAGTATTTAAGTATTAGTCAAACTCAACCAGTGGGAGTTTGGTTATTTTTGTTGCTTGACACTTTCATGTTTGTATTCAAACACTTCGCTGCAAACTTTACAAATATTCCCCCTTGTTCGTTTCTTTCAAGTGTTCCCAAACAATGGAAGTACCTATTAAAAAAAATATCTGAGAAGGCTGTTACCCTAATGTATATTAATCAGGAGGCAGACCAAGTGCACATCTACTGAAGAATTAAGAAATCCAAACCTTTTTTGCCTAAGTATTTCTTTAATTAGCAGTGCAGATCACACAATAAGTACTTTATACTTTTTATAAGGTAAGGTTTCATAACCATCCTGCATAACTTATAAAGCCTGTAGATTTTTATGGTATATACTTTAATTAGATAATAAAAAGTATGTGTGTTAAACATGCACATGTATGCTATTAAGCCATTTTGGGTAATGTGTAATGTTTTTTAACATCTATAAGCATTTTCTGCTTAAATCAGTTCCACCAGTAATCCTAACGCCGCTAGTTTTTGTACTGGTAAGAGAAAGAGCAGGAAAGTTGAGCAGGGAATTATGCATTGGACATTATTGCACAGCATATGCTGCAATATGCTTTTTTCTTGGAGTGGATCACCTTTTTTGAAGAGCTAAAATTTGCATTATCATCCGTGGTATGATATACCATAAACCTTTGTTGCTCCAGAATTGTTCCTGTTTCGCAGCACTGTAAAAAAAATTAGGGAAAAGGCTGGTGGTAAAAAGGCAAATTTATGGAATGCAGCTTAGCATTTAGTATTTGTACTGCTTATGGTCATTTATGTTGAGAGATTGAACCAGATAATGTAATTCCTTTTGTGAAATATCTGTTGAGCATGTATTTGTATATCAAATGAAATAACATATGCACACACATATGTAGGATATGCATGTAAAATACAGTTATTTCTGCAAGGCTGTCCGGTTATTTATAGGGCATAATGATACTTCTGTCATCTTAAATTTTCTCCGAGACGCTTTAATAAATTTAAATAGATTATATGCTGTCAGAAAATAGTATAAATTTTGTTTACGATTCACTTGCTTTAAGGTACTTATACTAAAGAAGCTCATTTAACCCCAAGACTGAGTAGCATTAAGTGGTGAGAGGAGTCTGCTGAAGAGCTGCTGCTGCCCTTTGCTCTTGTGATAATCTTAAATTACTACAATTTAATTGCAACTTCAAGGCACCGAGCTGAAATATTTTTATGCAGCTGAGGCAGGGCTGGAGAAGATGTGGGGAGGTTTTTTTGCAGGTAGCTGGGTTTCTCTTGGGAAGGGCAGCGTTCAGGCCTTTCCTGCTTTTTTCGGAGGGCATCCCTCCCAGCTCCGGGTCCCTGCTCCCTGGGAGGGAGGGAAGGAGGGGAGCTTTCCCCAGGGGGGTATTCCCAGCTCGGAGGGAGCAGGATGAGGCCCTGCAGTGCTCGGGCAGCTTGGCTGCACAAGAGCCTTGTTTGCTCTCGGTGTTGAAGCTGGTGTTGGAATTAAATAGCACAGGGTAGTTATTCCTCAAAGGAGCCCTGCTATCGAGTTGCTTCCCGGAGCTTTTTTTCGGGGTGGGAAGGGGCTGGCAGCTGGAGGTGAAGACCAGGGGGCACGGGTGGCACCCCGCTCTGAAAATACGGCCTGCTGGCTTGTCGCTGTGACAAGGTCCCCGCGTCCCCTGAGGTGACTTCAGGGGACATCCAGCCACGCAGGGCCCCATCCAGAGCTCGCTGGCATCAACCAGGGCTTCTGCTGGTGTCGCTGCCTTGGGGACTGGTGTTAGGTCTGTGTCACTAACTTGTATCACTGAAACTTTTCCTTTTCCCCCCCCCCACTTTACGTGTACTCACGTGTTTTCACACCCGGTGAGCGGTTCAGCAGAGTTCGGAGCCAGAAAGCCTTTTTTGCCGAGTGGAATTTCTAAGGGCTGTGCACTAGAGATCAGCAGCGCCTTTGCCATCGTTCTTTAAGAGGTCTTGGCACCCAAACTTTCCTGAAATGCTTGGAAAGGTACGGCCGGGCTGGGGCTCCCTGACTTTATCCCGCTGAGGACACGCGTAAGTGCTCGGCCGCGTTAGAAGCGCAGCGGTTTTTCGGATGGTGAGCCTGGTTTTGCCTTGGCCAAAACCTCGCAAAAATGCCTCGTTGCAAGAAGAAATGGAAAAATCTCGTGGTCGGGAGAAGGGCTGGCTTTTGGGGCTGCTGGAAACGCTGCTCGCAGCCACCCCGCTCCCACCAGCTCCCGGTGCCTTGGGGATTGCAGCCTCCGTAGGTAACAAGGTGATGGCAGTGTATATAGAGAGGGGGGGGAGAAAAAGTCAGACAGAATAAATCATGCAGTCAGTAGGGGAAAAACTTAATTGTGGCAACTCTGTACTCTTTTAATTAAAAAAAAAAATAAAAAATCTATATTTTGTTCTATAGAGGAACCAGCTGTTCTATTTTTAGGAGATCAGATATTTGTTGGTTGGGATGTCTGGAGTGTTTTAACATGTGCTTTTTTTTTTTTTTTTTCTTTCTTACTTCAGCACTGGAGCTCCCAAGTCAGAGAAGCTGCTGGCTCTGTTCGCGTGCAGCCTTCTTTGCAAATATGCTCTAGGGTTTTGTCTTGCTATTCTCCTGGCACCGATCTCTTCCATGCATTGCAAGTGAAGAGGCTGATGTATAATGGCTGTTTGTGTGTGGCAAGTATCCAGAATAATCTTGATAACTTTTTTGTTCAGCGCCACCCTGAAAATGAAGATAGTATTCTATGGAAAATGAGCAAAGAGAAGAGCGTGGGCAAAATCAATTTCTTTCCAAGAAGCGTCTGGTACCTGAGGAGGACTAAATAATTTTTCTCCTCTCGTTGACCCTCCCTGTCCTGTTTTTAAAACATCTCCATTTTAGTGCCTTGAAATTGTAATTAAGTTGTAGTAATTTAAGATTATTGCGAGAGTGCAAAGGGCAAGAGAAGCTCTTTAGAAGTCTCATCTCAACACTTAATGCTACTCAGTCAGGGGGTTAAATGAGTTTCCTCGATGTGAGTACTTAAAGTAACTAAATCGTAAACAAAATTTATACTATATTCTGACAACTAATAATCTATTTAAATTACATTAAAGTATGTGTGTGAAAATTTAATTAAAGATGGAAATACTGTCAAGCCCTGTAAATATCTTGACAGATCTACTGAAATGGAACCCATATCGTAAAATATTTACATATATCCGAGAGGCTACGGCGTTTCTGGGAGCGCTGCTCTGAAACTCATGGTGGGCTTTTTTTTTTTTTTTTTCCCCTCCCAGTTTCCCCTTCGGTTGCGATGGTCTGGGAAAGCAACACAAATAAACACCCAGGATGTTTTATGCGGGTGATTCTCCGGTGTATTGTTTACTCCTAATCGTTCTCTCCGCACAGCAAC